TGTAGTGTTTGTACCATATAATGTTGTAGTGTTTGTACCATATAATGTTGTAGTGTTTGTACCATATAATGTTGTAGTGTTTGCACCATATAATGTTGTAGTGTTTGCACAATATAATGTTGTAGTGTTTGTACCATATAATGTTGTAGTGTTTGTACCACATAATGGTGTAGTGTTTGTAACATATAATGTTGTAGCGTTCGCATAATGTAATGTTGCAAAGTTCGTACGATATAGTGTTGTTGAATTTGTATCATATAATGTAGTGTTCGCACCATATAATGCTGTAGTGTTTTAATATAATGTTGTAGTGTTTTTAGCATGTAATGTTGTAGTTTTTGTAACATATAATTGTGTAGTGTTTGTACTATATAATGTTGTAGTGTTTGTAACATATAATGTTGCAGTGTTTGCACCATATAATGTTGTAGTGTTTGTACCATATAATGTTGTAGTGTTTGTACCATATAATGTTGCAGTGTTTGTACCATCTAATGTTGCAGTGTTTGTAGCATATAAGCACCATACCATATATGGTATTTACTCGTATAGTGTGTGAGTGTATTCGGTGTTCGTCGGTTGCATGTTTTCATTTATAGGGAAAAATACCAAAATATGAGCTGTATACACTCAGTGTGTCATACTATTGAGAGACTTGCGAGATAGAAAATAAACTTTGAAATTGAAAATCGAACATAGAAATAGAATATTCATATAATTCATATAGACTGCACAGTAAATTAAAAGAGCAAACACATTTTAAGTAGATACTTGAAAACATCAGTGATGTTCGTTTGAAGACAGACGTGGGTGTGGTTGATGGAGATGACGAAAAAACGGAAAAATACAATTATTAAAACTATACCTCTAGCATAAACGGAGACACCCTCGAGTCTTTCAAGCTTTTGCCAAGTGTGAATTCGCCCTGGTAAGGTCCAAACTCTACGTTGTTTGGGATTTCAGTGGACGTCCAGACGCTCGTTTCAATATCGCAGCTATCGCGATGGTGCTCTGTAGTCCGGGTGGTTGCTGCCGCTGCCGGCGACGGGCCCCAAATCGTCGTCTTAAACATTGCAACTCAACAAAAGTATTGGTCTTTCCTTCGGTCGGTGTGCGATCCGGGAGTTGAAGCCAAATGACTCGCATTTTGGCTGCGTTACCGTTTTTCTAGGCAAGTTACACGACGGTCTGTGAGAACGACTCGGCTGCTAAACAGCTGTGGAACCACACTTCAATAGGGTAGCCCTCCCTTCGTCCGACTCCATGCAAACGCGGCGTTGACAAAAACCTCCATGTACGTACTACGCATGCGCGGAACATTCACAACGGCTATGAACAGCGCTTCGATCGAGCTTTCTTTCTTTCACAAACAAGATTCGCCCTACAGCTTAAAGATAAAAACGAGTTTATAATTGCCTTTCGATTTACTCTTGCTACTGACAACCCTGCTTACTGCTTTCTTACTTTCATGATTAATACAATAAAATTCGGACGTCACAAAACGAAACTTGTGGAAGCAATTCAACGTGGTACTATTATGTCGGT